AATGGAGAGTCAAATTAGAGTCAGAAAAAAATCTGTATAAGCGTTATTGTGAAGTGTTTAGAAGTTTCTGAGATGAGGTGCTGCAGACAAGCTGCTAGTTAAGCTGTTAGTATATATTTTTGAAAAAAAAAAAAAATTCAATACTAGGAATACTATGAAAATAGTGGTAAATAATTATGTGTCGTAGTTTGCTATATAGAATTTTAGCTTTTTCTATTTAGGGACCTGAGTTCCAATCATTAAGTTGTAAATTATTACCAAGTCGACTGAAAATGAATTAATGAATGAATAAATTAATGAATGCGTCATGATTGATTTAAGGCTAAACCCACATGCAGAACACAAACGGAGGCTGAGTAAAAGTTTAACAGAGTTTATTGAAAAAGGTTTTCACACAAAGACATGAACTGGTTCAGGTACTGGTCCGGGTTGGGTTCACTGATGTCTGCAGAGACGAACAGTTTGATTAGCCAGGCAGTCAGATGATTAATTGAGTCTTTAGATAATTCAGAGTCTACCTTGAAGAAGTCCAGGCTTTGCTTGTGAGAGAGGGAACCGGTTGGGTTCAGAGACTGTTGGTTCAGCAGAGTGCACAAAGCAGCAGCAGCGTCTAGCTTCTGACTATGAATGGCAGACCTTGATCAGAGTTTCCAGCTCTTCTCTGAGAGCTGCAGGAGAAATCCAGATTGGAATCTTCAGGTTTGGCTCACCAGGGCTGGCAGGCAGGTTAAAGCTCATCCAGAGCTTCAAACTTGAGACAGGTTTCCTGTGAGCAAAGACAGAGGCAGATTAGAATCAGGTTTCTCTCATGAGATAACAAAGATTCTTTCAGGTAACAGAGGCTCAGGTTCGCTAACCAAACTAGGTCAACACTGCGGCGTCGAAGGAAGGTCTGGTTGCTGCTTATAAAGGCAGGTCTCCTGATGGGTTGATGAACGTCAGGTGTGCTGGAGGGCTCCAGTCCAGGAGACCCACAGCGCACTCTGCTGGAGGAAGGTGGTACATCTCCAGATCCCAACAGAATGAATGAATAGGCATTCATTTCAGACAATTTTTCAAACTGACAATTTGATAAACAATAATAAATGAATCAACCAAATACACACAAAAGAGACTAATTCACATCAACCAAACCAAACCACAATTTCCAAACTAACTAAATTCTTTTTTTTTTTTTTTGCCAAAAAAGAGCCCAACAGATTTTGCTTTCACAAGTGGAGCAGGACGGCTATCGCCATAGTGTTCCGCTTGGTTTACGCATGGTTTTATTATGATTATGCAGGGAGTATTACAGATTATTACAGATTATATGGCACTGCAATGGGAAAGTAAAACAGGAAAAAGAAGAAAAGATGAAAGCGCTGCAAAAACAATCTAGAGATAAGTGAAAATGTCTTAAATTAAGTGTATTTACCCTTAATTTGAGTAGGTAAATGAGATAGTTTGCCAATAGAATTGGTATTTTTACTCTTAAAATAAGATAATTGGATAATCGTACTCGTACTCGTCGTCTCCCGCTTTATCCGGAACCGGGTCGCGGGGGCAGCAGACTAAGCAGAGACTCCCAGACTTCCCTCTCCCCAGACACCTCCTCCAGCTCTGTTGGGGGAAGCCCTAGGCGCTCCCAGGCCAGCCGAGAGACAGAGTCTCTCCAGCGTGTCCTGGGTCGTCCCCTGGGCCTCCTCCCAGTGGGACGTGCCTGGAACACCTCCCGAGGGAGGCATCCAAGGGGCATCCGAAAAAGATGTCCGAGCCACCTCAACTGACTCCTCTCAATGTGGAGGAGAACCGGCTCTACACTGAGCCTCTCCCGAATGACCGAGCTCCCCACCCTATCTCTAAGGGAGAGCCCAGCCACCCTGCGGAGAAAGCTCATTTCAGCCGCCTGTATCCGGGATCTCGTTCTTTCGGTCATGATCCAAATTTCATGACCATAGGTGAGGGTAGGAACGTAGACCGACCGGTAAATTGAGAGCTTTGCCTTTTCGCTCAGCTCTCTCTTCACCACGACAGACCGGTGCAGCGTCCGCATTATTGCAGCAGCCGCACCGATCCGTCTATTGATCTCCCGCTCCATTCTTCCCTCACTCGTGAACAGGACCCCAAGATACTTGAACTCCTCCACTTGAGACAGGGACTCTCCTCCAACCTGAAGAGGACAAGCCACCTTTTTCCGGTCGAGAACCATGGCCTCGGACTTGGAGGAGCTGATTCTCATCCCGGCCGATTCACACTCGGCTGCGAACCGCCCCAGCGCACGCTGTAGGTCTTGGCAGGAGGGAGCCAGCAGAACTACGTCATCCGCAAAAAGCAGGGACGAGATCCGCTGTTGCCCTAACCAGACCCCTCCGGTCCTTGGCTGCGCCTAGAAATCCTGTCCATAAAAGTTATGAACAGGACCGGTGACAGAGGGCAGCCCTGTCGGAGTCCAACATGCACTGGGAACAGGTCCGACATAGTGCCGGCAATGCGAACCAGACTCCTACTCCGCTTGTACAGAGAACGGATGGCCCCTAATAAAGGGCCCCCGACTCCATACTCCTGGAGCACCCCCCACAGGGCAGCACGAGGGACACGGTCGAATGCCTTCTCCAAGTCCACAAAACACATGTGGACTGGTTGGGCAAACTCCCATGAACCCTCAAGCACCCTGCAGAGGGTGTAGAGCTGGTCCACTGTTCCACGGCCAGGACGAAAACCACACTGCTCCTCCTGCAGCCGAGGTTCGACAATCAGCCGGACTCTCCTCTCCAGCACCCTGGCATAGGCCTTTCCGGGGACGCTGAGAAGTGTGATTCCCCGATAATTGGAACACACCCTCCGGTCCCCCTTCTTGTGGAGGGGAACCACCACCCCAGTCTGCCAATCCAGGGGAACTGTCCCCGACCTCCACGCGATGTTGAAGAGACGTGTCAACCATGACAGCCCGACAACTTCCAGAGCTCTAAGATACTCAGGACGGATCTCGTCCACCCCCGAAGCCTTGCCACCGTGGAGTTTTTTGACCACCTCAGTGACTTCGGCCTGGGTGATGAACGATCCCAGCCCCAAGCACCCCGTCTCTTCTTCCCCCACGGAAGGCGTGTCCGTCGTGTTGAGGAGATCCTCAAAGTATTCCTTCCACCGCCCGACAATATCCTCCTTCAAGGTCAGCAGCTCCCCACTCCCACTGAAAACAGTGTTAGCGAAGCACTGTTTTCCCCTCCGGAGGCGCCGGACGGTTTGCCAGAATCGCTTTGAGGCCAAAGGAGTGGATTGGGCGGCAGCCAGAGGCAGAGACCTCGGCGACCTGATCCGCGGGCGCTTAAACTGGCTCTGGGGATGTAATTGGATAATATGCACTTGAAATAAGACAGTGTAATTGTGTTTTCTTATTTTAAGTGTAAATTGTCTTGTTACATTGGCAAAATGTCTCTTTTATCTCCTCAATCCAAGAACAAATGCACTTATTTTAAGAAAAAATTACTTAGCTAGATTTAGTTTTTTTTCCAGTGAGAGGAGATAAAAAGGAGACAATAGTAAAAGGTCTTCAGTCTGCTTCATCACCTGCAAAGAGAGACGTAAAAAGAACAACACAACCAACGGATACAGTATAATAGATACAATAAAGCTGCACCTTGATACTATCGCTGAAGTATAGGCAGTATTATTTAATCTGACGTGTATACTAACTAAATTCATCTGAACTTAAACAGAAACAAAACCCTCCACCAAACAAACCTGCTGGTATATACAGCCAGAAAAATTATATCAATTCTCTGTTTAAGATCCCAACATTGATTATAAAAATGTGATAGAAATGATAGATCAATGATTCTGAATGACTGAAGATTTTTTAATTACAGCTGGAAAGAAACAAATAAAGACACACACATGCTGTAGTTAAGCTAAAGTATGCATGACCATAGGACAGCAGCATCTATGACAGAAATTGAGGACATGTTTCGCCACTGGACAAAGTTGTGTAGTTAAAGTGCAATATTTACCATCCCTGCCCACCCCGGCAGGGATGGTAAATATCTTATTTAATCAGATATTATTTGGACTGTAATATATTGTTTATGAACACACGCCTACTGGCTGTATGTTAGAACAAAAAAAATGAAAGTGTGAATCAAGCTCAAATCACAGTCAAACAAATTCAGCCAAATCTGCAGGCCGCAGATCTGCAGACCCCAGGTCTTCAGACCACAATTTTCTGAACCCACATCTGCAGACCCCAAATTTTGAAACCCTGGATCTCCAAACCTCAGATCTGCAAGCCTCAGATCTGCAGACCCCAGATGTGAAAGACCCAGATCGTCGGACCCCAGTTCTTCAGACCCTAAATCTGCAGACCGTAGATCTGCAGAACCCAGGTCTTCTGATCCCAAAAATTGCAAACCCCAGATCTGCCGAACGTAGATCTGCAGACCCCAGATTTGAATGCCCCAGATCTGCAGACCCCAGAAATTCAGACCCTAATTCTGCAGGCCGCACATCTGCAGACCCCAGGTCTTTAGACTCAAAATTTTCAGACCCCAGAACTGCAGACCCCAGATCTGCAGGCTGTAACTCTTAAGACCTACATTTTGCAGGCTGCAGATCTGCAGACCCCACACCCAACAGTAGCTTTTCATCCTGGTTATTATTTATGTCCAGCAAAGAGACTCAAGATGACATTTGTTATGCATTGGCACTATAAAAAAACTAAAATGACTGAAACATTCAGGTCATCAGTTGATGCTAACTCAATGGAACTAGTAAGGGCTGTTAAAGAGACATACGGCTCCATATGATTTTTGTTATTCATCATTATTATATCAAAATTAATAGAACAAAGTATCAAATGAAGCAGTAACTTTATGGCTCAGCCTAAAAAAAACAAAAACTCATTCACTGGTGTGACCTGCTGGTCTCTATGACGACCAGCATGTTGTTTCATCTTTACTTGTCTCTCAGATGAATAGACGTATTTATATAAAATGAGCCCAGAAAGTCTTTGACTCCCAGCGATTCAGACGGTTGATCTTTACAAGCCTAAGAAGGTCAGAGATACCAGGTAAGGTTTTGGGTTATACTCCAAAAATTACAATTTATGCCTCATTGAACAATTTCTAAAGGATTTATAATTGGTGTTAAAAATGTTGTTGTTCATACTGTAGTTCTAAGCAGGTAAACTTTCACAAAAGTTTACAGCTGTTTAATAGACTTTGTTTTCAAAATGCTTTATAAAGAACAGATGAGTCAACATAATGCATATTTTATTGCTCTTTTTCTAGGTTTAAGAAGGAGACTTTATATGCTCTCACTTAATTTGTTTCAGGATGATGGAGAACGTCACCTTGAACAGTTTGACGCTCCAGCTGGAGGGTTTAAGGCTCACAGAAACATCTGTCTACCCTGTCTTTCTGTTTTTCCTCTTCTCCTACCTTTTCATTATGACACTGAATGTTGGGATTGTGTTTCTGGTCTGTAGTGATAAGAACCTCCATCAACCCATGTACTTATTGTTCTGTAACCTTCCAGTTAATGACATCTTTGGGAACTCTATTGTTTTGCCCCGTTTGCTGTCTGACCTGCTGAAGAATCCCTCAGAGTTGCTCATCAGCTACTATGAGTGTGTCGTTCAGGCTTTCTCTACACATTTGTTTGCCACTTCTTGCCACACGGTGCTGATGATCATGGCCTTCGACAGGTACGTGGCCATCTGTAACCCTCTGCGTTACTCGGCCATCATGACCAACAGGATGGTGCTGAAGCTGACCGTCTCTGCCTGGGGGACGGCCTTTGTTCTGGTCGGGATTCTGCTGGGTCTGACCATACGGCTGAACCGCTGCAGGACCTTCATCACTAACCCATACTGTGACAACGCCTCATTGTTCAAGCTGTCCTGTGAGAGTGTGGTGATCAATAACATCTACGGCCTGACCTTTACAGTGGTCCTGTTTACAGCCTCCATAGGCAGCATCGTCCTCACCTACACCAGGATCACCTCCGTGTGTCTGACCAGTAAGAACCAGTCGTTGAACAGGAAGGCCTTGAAGACCTGCAGTACCCACCTGGTTGTGTATCTGATCATGCTTTTCTGTGGCATCTTGATCATCGCTTTGCATCGATTCCCTCAGTATTCGGACCACAGGAAAATGTCGGCCATATTGTTTCACATCATCCCTTGCAGCTTGAATCCTATCATTTATGGAGTTCAGTTCAAAGAAATAAATAGATCCCTTTCTAATTTTTTCAGGTCTAAAAAAGTTTTTTCTTCATCCTGAAAATATATTTTCAAATTTTGTCTCAGATATTTAGGATAATGTATATCCTCTTTAAATGCATACAGATGTGTGTTTTATCTATTGTCCAAATTGTCTTAATGAAATGTTTTCTTTTTGTCTCCTGTATTTTATATATTACATGTATTCAGAACTAAACTACACTGTTTTCGATGTTTATGAAATAACACCAAATAATTTTAAATGTCATAACAATCATTTCATAAAAGTCATTTAAATGTGTTGATTGAACGGTATAAAATGTAATGTACAAACAAAGATGCACTTTATCAGTGAAACATTTTCTGGCAGTTTCAGGAGTTTAAATAAAAATGTAAGAAACTTCCTTCCATCTTTTACAAGAGCTATCCACATTATTTTCTACTTTAATTCAGTGAAATAAAGAACCACTATAAGAGGTTCTATAGCTACCACTGGAAAAGTCATGACACCCCTGAAACCCTTTTTCATCAAAGTTCATAGTCTTGAACATGAGATTATGGTGATATTGTCCTCAAAAAACATAAATGTTTCAATTAAGCATTAATTTTTTCAATGCATAGACATATACAGTGTAAGAAGTGTAGCTCCTATCGCTGCACTTTCTAATAATTTTTAGGAAAACATTACTTATTTTGTTTGTTAATTTTTTTACTCAATTTTCATAATATCAAGTGGTTAGACTGTCGACCCCAAATGACTCTATTTAAAGCCCATTGAAATAACTTTTATTATATGAATTTATATTTTCTGCCATTTTTGGAATTATTTCATATATGATTCAGTGATTTAATTTAAAGGATATTTTTTCTATCATGATGTTCTCAGGAAACTTTCAGAACTTTGATTCAACTTGAAACTATGATGTTGGGTGAACAATCATCTGGTTTAACCCTTGCAGAGAGCTTTCCATAACTTTATGTCCAAAATTTTCAGTTATATCATTTATTAATAAACTGATGATTTCTATATCATGATCACTGCTACTTTAACTTGGCCGTTATTTGGATCTTTTCATATTTTTTATTTGGCTAAATTAGTTTTTCCTCTAATATATACATTCATATTCAAGGGTTTGCTCAATTTCTACACAATTAAAGAAAAAATATATGTAAAAATAATTTGGGGCATGTCATTTAATAACTTACATCTACTTTTTCAGATTTAAGAGTAGTGAGTGCACCTCAGTTTCAGTTTGTATTTGTGTGCGTTATAAAAAGCAGCAAGAAAGTGCTTCATAGCAGCTTCTGATAAAAATCTCTAAAGCTGCCACATCTTAGACGGTATAAAGCATAATTAGAAGTTCTTTATGTTGAACTAAAATTTATTCAACTTGTCCATTTGAATTCAGACAGAGGGCCACAGGGGGACAACAGCGACCCCTAGTGAGCAACAGGTTTTGCCAGGGATGGGTTCCGTCAGCAAACAGAACCAAGAGTTCGTGCTTGATTAATGAATCCCACAGTGAGCTGATGATCTACACTTTGTGATGATGTTTAATCCCGTGGGAAGAAAAAGTAACGGATGTTAATTACAGCTCAGATAATGAGTCTGATTCCTGTAGGAATTCAGTAAAGTCTCTGCAGGGATTCTTAGTCTGAGAAGTTCGACTTTAACTTTTTGGGACATTGAGTTAGAATCACCTCTACAGATAAAAGTCTAAAAACACAAACCTTGTGAGTTTTTATGCTTTTGTTGGTAACAAAAGGAGGAAAACTATTCCAATAAATTACATTAAAACAACGAAACAATAAAACACCTCAACTGAGAGACAAAAAATTGATACAGACATACGACCATCCAGAGGCAGAGTTCTTATTCTTAAGATAACAGGACTCGGTCCATCTGGATGGGAACCTGAGGTAAATACAGTATTTCAAAACAGAAACTAAGACACAAGGTCTAAACAGAATTACAACTGCCAGAACAACCTGCTGGTTAACCTGTTCAATACTGGCGAATAACCCCCTGCCAAGCTCCCTTACCTCACCCTTTGGAACCGCCTGTGGCTGTGGACTAGTTCCTAGGAACGGACCTGAGGTTAAGTGGTCCTCACACAAAGACAAACCTTAGAAGAAGGCCCTGCAGGCTCAGCTAATGGTCATCTTCCACAACAGTGTTTATCCTATGTTTGACCCTCACTATTTGGTTTGGATCATCCATAAAATAGGACCACTGCACTCAGGTCTGCAGACAGGATCTTCAAAGACCAATCCCAACACGCCCCCTAGCCCTAATTTTGTTTTCCATACCCATCAATTTTTCATTTTTTTGCACAATCCTGTGAGGGTAGTGGTGCCCCAAATCCTCTTTGCATGTAGGACCAGTAAATATAACCAGGGTTAGTGGGTAAGAATCCAGCCCTTAAAAAGGAGAAATATCAGATGCAGACTCGTCTTGTGAACGTTGCAGTTATGCTCCATACTGTAACTTTCCCAATATTACCTATGCAGCAAAACCATTCACATTTTATAAAAATGTTTTAAATCAGTCTCCCTACAGACTCACATATGTTATTACTTAAAGTTGTCGCCGTTTACATACATCCTAACAGTCTCTATATCAATGTGTTTTGTACTATTAAAAGCAAGATGCCTGATTTTGCTTAAATAGAAAAATAAGAGTCCTCCAACTCATCATAACCGTCTAAGGCAGGATATTTACATTTCAGTCATTTACAATAGGAAAAACAATAGAAGGAAAGAAGAAGAAATACTTCACTCTGCTTGGAAACCCTTTTTTTTCTACTATGGTGAAAAATAAATGTAAAATATGTGATCTATTCAGACAAAACTCCTAACTAAGGAATTCACACAATATTGTTTTTCAGTTTTTTTTTGTATTACAATTTATTTATAATTTTGTTAATTTATATTCTTGGGTGGTAATGTCCTTAAATTAGTTCAGAATGTGCTCAAATGAGGCGGTGGATGGTCTACTCATGGATCTCCTCCCAGACCTGGACTAAAGCATTCGCCGACTGATGCAAAATGAGATTAGTCAATGGATGGAGACTGTGAGGATTCTAGTTTGTGGGGCTTGTTTATGTTCTTTTGCAGTTTCACCATGCAGAGACTTGATGTCCCAGATGTGCTTAATCCAATTCAGGTCTGTGTAACAGGCGGTTCAATGGCTTCAATACCTTTACAGTATCTTGCAAGAACTGACACACTCCAACCACATGAGGTCTTCCATTGTGCTGCATTAGGAGGAACCCAACCGGCCAACCGCATCAGCATATAGTCTCACAAAGGGTCTTAGGGTCTCAACTCGGTACCTAATGGAAGTAATCCTACCTCTGGTGGCCACATGGAGGATTGTGCAGCTCTGTGCAGCAATATTACAAATAAAGTAATCTCTCTACTGCTTGACAAGCATCAACAAACAATATTGTTTCAGATCTATTAACAGGTATAAACACTGTTATAGGCTACTCTAACCTGAATCTTTTTGCATCTTCGATCAAAAACATTGTAAGGTCGCTTGCTCTCTAATATCTTTTATATGCTTTGTTTGAGAGGTCTACTGACCCTTGACCCCAGATTAAAATCAACCTGAGTACCGTAATCCAGTAATTTCAGATTATTGTTCAACATCTTTCTGGAGTGAGAGCCAAAGGTTTGCATCAAGAGCAATGTAAGAAGTTATGCGTGAAAACTGCAAACTTTCTTTGGCTTTAAGTTAGAACTAAAACAGATTCACCTGTTTGTGTTTTTCTCCACAGAGTCAAACTGTTTCAAACCTTTGGGGCCTTAGGGGACCACTTTGGCCCCTGATGATGAACAGGTTTCATCAGTCTGCGTTCCAACAACAAACAGAAACAATGTAATGTTTCAGAACAAAGGCGTTCATTAATGAACTCCACTGTGAGCTTTGCCATAAAACCCAGAGGACTAATTATCAACCCCTTCTAATAACACGTAGCCCTCAGGGGCAGGGAACCAGATAACACACAGGCTTCCGCGGGGATTCACTTGTTGCCAGATACAATTAATGCAAAATAGTTAAACTAGTCTCAACTAAAACTTTGGTAGAAAGACAAATCAAAGCACTAGTCAGCCACATGAATCTGAAAGACTTTGTAATTTTGTCAGAACAAAAAAGTCCTACTTCTGATAAAGGTTTCAGTCACTATCTTATATCAAAAATTAGAAGAATCACAATGTTTTCAATTGAAGAAATTAAAAAGGAATAAAAAATTAGTCAGGATGTTTTTGGATCATGAACACTTTAAAATACGAAAGTTCAGCTTAATATGACCGATACACAAAACCAGGTCATCATTTGATTCTCTGCCAGGATGATGATCTTAAACAGGTCCACATCCTCCTTCCATGGTCATCCCAGTTCCCAGAAGTAGTTACATCCGTGAGCTAAGATGACCAGAGGAACCCATAAGAAATGAACTCAGGCCTATCCTGGACATTTGCCTCCAGTTCAGTCATTACCAGTTCATCTGGGAGCCTGAAACGCACAGAGGCCCTGAGAGGAGACCAGGCAGCATAATAGAAAGCAGGTCCCTGTCCAGCGTCCCCTGAACGCCTCACCTCACTCTCTAATTTAATTATCTCACTGTGATTTCGGAAGCCACAATAGGCTAACCAGAGAAAAGCTTTGACAGGAGCATCAGGAACATTCAAAGAATCTCTGGTAAAGTGCCTCTGAAAATTTACCATAACCACTGATAAGTTATTCAATGAATAATGGCATAAAAAAAGTATAATGTTTCTATTTCTTTACATATTAGAAATACACACCTGGTCAGTTCTGTCCCGTCCCACTCCCACAAAAAAAAATTGTGTCCCGTCCAGATCCGGGGCCAGAGTAGAAATCTAAATCCTGTCCCGTCCCACTCCTGGTTAAAATACTCCCATCCCGCTCCCATTCAGAATGACTCCTGCTCCTGCACCACTCCCATTTTCGAAGTCGAGTTTGCCACTAACTGTTGGTCGCTCCATTGTTGTTTTTGAGAGTGGGTGAAAAACTCAGAGTGGAAGCATTGTTGGTTTTTGGGTCGTGTAGTTTTTTTGACTCGCATTATAGTGTAGGCTTCATGGAAAAAAATTACAAAATAGCGGCGCCAGTACTGGATTTTTTTTCTTTCTATTTTATTAAATTTTTTGGCATCGATCCTAGTTTTTTTTAGTTACTATTGGTTTGCTCCCGCTCCCGTCTGCTCCCGTTAATGTTTAATCCTGTACCGTTCCAATCACGTAATCGTTACTAGTACCGACTCCCATCCCACGAGAATCACACGGGAATCCCGTGACCCGTGGGATTCCCGAAAAAATGTCAGTCTCTACTAC